GAGGGGACCCAGTTCTACCTCATCAGACCTTTGCTTTTTGCTTGGCTTTTTAAAAGAACTTACTGGATTGTAAGAGACAGATTGACCTCTTATGCCTGCAATGATGGTTATGGATCTACCTTTACCTGGAGCATTTTTAATTTTTAGGAGTTGGGCCACAAGCACAGCATAGCTTTGCACCCTAGCTTCAGCCTGACTGGGAACCCTACTGAGGAAGTCTAGAAGAGGAAGGCGTGGTCTAGGCTATATCCCTGCTATTCTCACGTCTCGCCTCTTCTACTGCAGTCCACCTCTTCCTGACACCCTCCATCACTGGGGAAAGAAGAGGAATTGAGACTGGGTTACTTCCTACATCTTTTTTTTCAACTGTGCAAGCACAAAGTAGAAAGATTTTTAAAACTGCCATCTTCAATTATTCCCTCACCTTGCAACAAGCAGTTATTGAGCATCTGCAATGTAGCAGGTATCATGCTGGGGCTCTTGCCCTCATGAAGCCAACATGGTCACTGGAACTTGCTCTCTGGGGCCCCAGGCCCAAGGACTCTCCTTTTAGCCACCCAGTCTTGGCCATGTACTATCACTCTCCCTTGGGTTTTCTCTAAACCAGGCCCTCAACTCCTCCTCCTTTTTCTTCTTCAGTGTGAATAGGACCCATATTCTATCGCAAACCTCTTCCTGGCAAAGCTTTTGGTCATATTTTACCTGTCTCCACAGTGTCCATGACCTCCTGATGACTCCCACAGCCTCTTACCACCAGGCCAGCCCCCCCCCCCCAGCTCCATAGCGACCTTTCTGACAGAGGCCCGGCTGTTTCTACTACTGCAGTTTCCACTACTGCTGCTTCCACTGGGGTTAACCCACCTTGCCCTGCTCCACAGTCTCCCCCTCAGTCCTGGAGTTCCAGCTCCTCCTCTACCCCTTCTGATGCCATCACATCATAGGTAATCACGAGTGATGATTAGGTTTCCATATACCGATCCTGAAGGGACACAAACATTCAGACCATTGCACTCAAGTCCTGGGTGGCCATCATGTGCTGGGCATTCACCTAAATGTTTAATCCTCAACACAACCCCTGAGACAGCTCATTATGACTATCATCCCCAATTTATGAATGAGAAAAATGAGGCGCAGACATTTTATGCAGTTACCAATAGGGAAGGGGCCGAGCCACGAGGGCAGTGGGTCCTCATCAGGTTGGCTGTAGGTATGACTCTGGCCCCAGCCTCCCTTCATTCCCAGATATTTTCTATGCTTATTCTCCAGCATTCTTGGAGAGTCTGTGAGCCACCCAGTTTCCTTTCCCAGAGTTTCTTTTCCATTTAAACCAGTCAAGGTATGCTTCTGTTGCTTGCAAGCACTGTGGGAGCACTATAGCACTGACTGGCCTCTCATGGCCTGGGAGACGCAGACATCGGTAGCCTCCACCCTGCCCAACACCAGTGAAAAGAGAGCATGGTCTCAGGATGAAAGGGAACACCAGGCTGAATTGGCAGGGTTCCTGCCCTCAGAAGACTCACAGTGGAGAAGGAAAGACTGTGTGCTATGCACACTTAGAGCAAAGCAATGCTAGAACAAAGTAATACACCAAAGTCACTTACACAACACAAGATTAAAGGAACGAAGGAGGTTGTGTTGGAGCTGGCTTTCAAGAATGAGCATTTGGTTAAGCAGGAAAGAGGGGCATGGATAACAGAAATAAAGAGGATGAAACAAGATACAGTGGAACAAAGAGAAAGGTATGCCTAATGAACAGAAGAGGGTCTCGCCTGGGTGGGCTGAGGTAAAAAGTGAAATGAAGGAGTAAGTTGGGAGCAAAGCATTTTCTTTCACACACACACACACACACACACACACACACACACACACACACATATATATACAAACACACTCACACACATATACAAACACACATAGACACAGACATACACTCATATAACATATATGTGTATATGTACATATATGTGTGAGTGAATATATATGTATGTATATGTATATATACATAAATTTCATATCATTTCCGCTTAGCAAGTACTTTAAAAATAGTTCAGCTTTATTTGAATCCTCTGCCAGATCATCAACAGTTCTCACAAAAGCCTCCTGCCTCTTGCTTTACTCATGGAGGAGATGTAGTCGTTCACAGCTCTAAAGGAATCGGTCACAAGTCTTCAAAGTCTCCCAGATGGTGAGAATCACAGGCTGGGGATGCCAGAGCAGACACTTGGTGAATGTCCGTTGAAGAGATTTCATAAAAAAACCATTGCATCGGGCGCCCTGAGGATACTAAGTCACATTTCTAAAGACTCTGCGAAGATGACTCTTTGAGTTCCCAGAGGTGCAGCTTTCTCAGGTGTCACCAATGTTGAAGCTGCAGTCTCTTTCAGTGCCTAAGAGAAAGACACCTCAACCACAGAGGAGAGCACCAGCCTGACTAAAGTGCCTAGTTGCAAGGCCCAGCCAAGGAGGTAGTAGGCAGACTGCAGAAAGCAGGGAGAGTTTAGCAGCCAGTTTCACTTAGGACAAGAACTCTGTGCACAGGAGCTCCTAAGCAAGTATCAAACTACTCTGCTGTGTGCCCACAGAGCTCCAAGCTGCCAGGTGAGGATAATCCCATATTGGTTTTCTTTGTTGGGGGCAGGATCTTCAACCCCAAAACAACACAGCCAGTGACCAAGCTCTGAACATGTGCTTTGAGTACATGTCATCAATAACTAGATCTGAGTTGGCGGGCCTTCTAAACATTAAATGTATTTCTGATGCTTGAAAACAAAAATGTATGTTTGGGGCTGGTTTGAATTAGGTAGTGTGGAGACAGCCGTTTGCCTGAAGTCTCCAGTCCTCCTCTGCCCTTGGGCAGCTATTCACTGCCTGGTTGAGACCAGATAGAGCACCTGGTAGACCCTGGCCCACACCCCTGGCTGGGTAACAATGACTTCTGGGCAGGGGTGATAGGCAGACCCCACAAGGACAGCTGAGGATGAGTTTAAATATCATGATTTACCATCCATGGCTCAAGAAATCTGATCGTCTCTGAAGATTCTGCCCAGTAATCCTCACAAGCACAATTCTACAGCCTATGTGATCAATGGTGGCGTGGGTCCCTTGTGTGTTACCACCATCAAAAGGTACAGTTATTCCTTTAAAGCTCAAGGTATAATTAAATCTCTACAATGGTGTTAATGGCTCAAGCAACCTCGAAGCAGCTGTCATATTTTAAAAGATCATTCTGAATTGTTTTATGTCTGAAATTGCTCTGTAAAATCTTGTTCATTTTTTAAACTTTAGTTGAGAATACATTTAATGCAGAAGATGGCTTTCTTCTGGCCACAAAAGAAGCAGCAGCTTCATTTAGGACTTCATCATCTGACAAGATCACCATGGAGGACTAAACTCCACCAAACAAAGCTGAGCTCAGCCCTCTAGGGCTTGGTTCCATTTGTACACTGAGGAAGAGTCCAAAGTAAAGATTAGGTCACAGGATATGGGCCAGTCCAGAGCACTCTGGGGGATGTTTACACTAACATCACTTTCTTGAAGGAGGGGCTATGACTGACTTACCATGGGATCTCCAGTGACTGCCAGGACAGTTGGTGAATGGGGTACTGCCTCCATTGAATAATAGGTAAACTTTTTATTGAATAACAGACAAACCAGTAAAAGGAGACATTAGGTATTCCGCCACAAAAAAACAGGCATGAGAAAAATGTTTCAGAGACAGTGAATTGGAAGCTCTTTAATCACTCACCAAACTCCCTAAATAGTGATCTAGAACAATTGAGAAGTGCAATTTATATTCATGCTATTTCCCAATAATAACAATGACAGCCAAAAAGCACTGAACACTTTCTGTGTGCTACTGTTGCACTATGGGCTATACACACCTCATTTTGTGGCCTCTCAATAACCCTCTGAGGAAGGCAGTACTCTGGGCTATTGAGCTCTCATATATGATTCTGAAACTGGACGCTGTGATAGGAAACAGTCTCTGATATCTCGGAAAACTTGATGGCAGATAATGGGGTAAATTCTTACTTTGAAGATGCCACAACTTTCTGATTTATCTTTCTAGGAAGACAGCTCTTTGTTTAGGAGCCTTTCAAGTGTGACAAAATAGTGCCAAAACCTCCTCAATAATGATAGAAAATGTTGACAACTTAAGCCCTTTATAAACATCATCTTAGTTAGTCCTCACAACTACTCCATGAGGTGGGAAAGATTATTATTTACATCTCAGAGATGAGGAAACTAAAATCTAAAAAGATATACCCAAGGTCACAGCTAGAAAGAAGTAGAGCACAGGGTCTAACCAAAAGCTATCTGACACCAAAGTTCAGTCACTGGCCACTGTAATCCCAACTGAAATGGGTAGATGGAGGTTTGAAGTCAAGAACACTAGTGTCTATGTGACGATAGGATTTGAGGTACACAAGCCTGGAAATAGAGAATTTTGATAAGGTCCATGCTACTGTGTACTCTGAAGAAAGACCACAACTGATAGCATTGCAACACTAGGAGCTTTCTACTCCTAAATACCATTCCAGGGAATGGAGGAAGAAAAGAAAGGGACTACTTCAGGAGTCAGAAAACTACAGTCTGCACATTAAATCCAGTCATCTGTTTTTGTAGATAAAAAGATGTATTGGTTTACAGATTTACATATTGTCTAAAGCTGCTTTTGTGCCTAAACAGCAGAGCTGAATAATTGAAAAAGACCTAATGGCTGGCAAAGCCTAAGATATTTACTCTCTGGCCCCTTACAGAAAATGCTAGCCAAACTCTGGACAACAGGTTACAGACTGTGATATAAACAACCATGAGAAAACAGCAAGCCCAGAATTTCCATGCGTAACAGGTACACGCTTCACCTATCCAGTTGAAGCTTGACACATTCAACTTGTAATTGCACTTTACAAAACCCCTATGTCCAAAACCAGCCAACTTCTACTTCTCAAAGCCCCAATTCTTTACCCTCCAAAAGAAGAAGCAGCAGGGAGACTTACCTTTGTTGTACATGTTTGTGGGTACTTGGACATCACTCAGACTGATGTTCACAGGCAAATTATTAAAATGGTCATTTGGGGCTAAGATGAACTCCTTTCCCAGTTCCAAAAAATTCCCATCTTTGTCTCTTTCATTGATCAACACAGCATTGAAATATTCATACTGAAAGAGAAAGTAAATTTTAAAAAATTACATGAGACTTAAGGAAATGAACTATGAACTCAGACCTGGGCACAGGCCACATGCTGTCCCCTCCACTTGCAGACCCTGGTCTGCTCACATAATCTCTTTAAGTCTTGCATACCGTCTTTGGCAGTTTTTTTGTACAAATGTGACAGCGTTATGTAAATATTTTCCAATGTCTTTAAATATTTTTGGAAAACATGAATTTAAGGAGGAACACAGCACTTCCTTATGTGAATATAGAGGAAAACGTCCTAAAGATATTTTAATTCTTTGAATTTTGAAGAGAGACTCTGCCCTTATGCAACCTACACTTAAATTGAAGGAGGCTGAAAATCAACAAAAAATAACACTATGTAATATATCAGATCATCATACTTGCTATAGAAAAATAATAAGACAGTGTAAGGGGCATAGCAGCAGTAGAAAGTCTGTGTGTCTACATATGCTGCTTGGGAAGGTCTTATTGCTATGATGACACATATAGAGGATGGATGAGGGGGGGATGCCAATGGCATGGGCATCTAGGGGAAGCATCCCAAACACAGACAATAGCAAGGGGAAAGGCCCTCAGATGGGAGCACGATGGCATGTTTTAGAGATGGCTATATCATTATTATTTGGCAATATATAGAACATTTAGTCTGTGTCAGAAATTAAGTGCTTTTTCCTTATATGTCATTATGCTAATTGCATTTTTTTTAAAAAGAAATTAAGTGTTTTTCATGTGCTAATTCATTTGAATCTCCTAACAATGCTATTAAGTAGATTTTATGAGTATTCTTACTTCACAAACTAGAAAACTGAGGTATACAAAATGCATGCACCCTGCCAAAGATTACATGGGTGATAAGCAGAATTCAAAACAGGCAACCTATCTCCAGAGTCTGTGCTCATATCTACTATGCAAGATAACTGATGGCAAGTATGGGTGGGGTTAACAGACTAGGATCTTAACATAACTACAATCACTATGCTAAGAGGACTAATAGAAAAAAGAGGACAACATGCAAGAATAGATGAGTATTAAAAGTAAAGAGGTGAATATTTTATGAAGAAACCAATATAAAGTGCTATAAATAAATTAAAAAACCACTGTGACAGAAAAGAGGAGTGCCTTTAATGGTTCATCAGTAGACTAAACATAGCCAAGGAAATAATCAGTGGACTTGAAGATATGTCCACAGAAAACTCTCAAACTAAAAAGCAAAGAGAAGAGAGGATAAAAAGGAACACACTACCCAAGAACTGGGGTACAATCACAAAAGATGTAACATGTATGTAATGGGAATATCAGATGGAGAAGAAAGAAAGAAGGAAAGTGAAGAAATACTTGAAATAATAATGGTTGAGAATTCTTCCAAAATTAAAGACAAAAACCAAACCACAGTTCGAGAAAGTTCAGAGAATACCAAACACAATGAATATTACAAAAATCTATACCTATGCATATCATGTTCAAACTGCAGAGAATCAAAAAGAAAGAAGCCAGAAGGAGAGGAAATTTTACCTATGAGGAACAAAGACAGGAATTACACCAGACTTCTCCTCAGAAACTATGCAAGCAATAATAAAATGGAGTGAAATACTTACAGTGTTCAAATAAAAAAAAACTAATAAACCAAAACAATTTATAAAAAAGAAGAAAAAAATCCAAGGACTCAATTTTTTAAATTTAAAACCTTATTTTAAATCTAATTAATCAAAACAGTATGGTATTGGCATAAGAATAGACAAACAGATCACTGGAACAGAAGCATCCAGAAATAAAGCTGCACATATGTAATTAACTGACTTTCAATAAACATGCTTAGATAAGTCAATGGGGAAAGTATTTTCAATGAACTGTACTGGAATAGATGTCTACACACATAAAAACTACATTCTCAACCCCTAACTCACATCATATGTGTATTAATTCAAGATGAATGATAACCATAGATGTAAAAACTAAATCTGTAATACTTCTAGGAAAAAAGTGAAGAATATATTTGTGGCCTTCAGGTAGCACTGATCTCTTACGATACAGAAAGTACTTCTAATTTTAAATATCAATTATTTGGAATTTATGAAAATCAAAATTTCTAGTCAGCACATTCACTGTTAATAAAACAAATCGGAGATCTACTGTTGAGGAAAAAATGTTCATAATATACACATCTGACAAATGACCTGTATCCAGAATATGTAATGAATTTCTATAACTCAACTTAAAAAATAAATCACAGTATTGGCAAGAGATTTAACAGACACCTTACAAAGGAAGGTATATGAATGGCCAATATGCAGAGCGAAATGTTTTCAACATCATTAGTCTTCAGGAAAGTGCAAAATAAAACCCCAGGTAGATGTATTTTTGTATACACCAGAAAAGCTAAAATTTAAAATTCTGACAATATTAATTGTTGTCAAGGATGTGGAGTAACCAGAAATCTCATAAACTGCTTATAGGAATATAAAATGTTTCAAACACTTTGGGAAAATATTTTGCAGCTTCTTATAAAGTTAAACATATATCTACTGTATGACCCAGCAATTCCCCTCCTAGGTATTTATCCAAGAGAAATGAAAACATATGTCCACACAAATATTTGTGTGAATGCTCATGAAGCCCCATTCACAATAGCCCAAAACTAGAAATAGCCCAAATGTCCGCTAACAGGGGAGAAGATAAATAAACTTGCAATATATTCATACAATAAACTACTACTCAGGAGCCAATTACTCATACACTAAAAATATGAATGAATTTCACAAACATTATAAGTGAAAGAAGCCAGAGACAAGAGAGTACATATGCATGATTTCATTTATATAAAGCTCTAAAACAGGCAAAATTATTATTATTTTTTTTTTTTTCAGTTGGTGTCTCACTCAATCGCCCAGACTGAAGTGCAGTGGCTGCTCCCGGCCACTGCAGCCTCGACCTGCTGGACTCCGGCGATCCTTCCTCCTCAGCCTTCCAAGTAGCTGGAACTATAGGCACGTACTACCACGCTCGGATAATTTTTTAAAATTTATTGTAGAGATGAGGTCTCGCCAAGTTGCCCAGGCAGGTCTTGAATCCGTGGGGTCAAGCAATTCACTCACCTCGGCCTCCCAAAGCGCGGGATTACAGGCTGAGCCACTGAGCGGCTGCAAAATTATTATTCAATAATGACGGCAATTAAGGGCTGCTTCTAAGGGGGTGGGAGGTGAGAGTCAACTGGGGAGGTACAAAAGAGAGCTTCCTGGAGTTCTGCAGGTGTTCTATATCTTGATGATTCATGGATTACTCAGGTGTATTCATTTGTCAGTATTCATTGAATTGTATGCAGAATAACTGCATTTTTCGTTATAGAAATTCATGTCTCAATTTAAAAAAATTAAAGTCACAAAAATACCTTTTAATTTTTTAAGTTGATTCAATAACTTCATAGAAACAGAACTCAAGGTAATCAATTCCATCCCAAACCAATTTTTAAAGTACAGTTTATCGTGATATCACACCCTGAAACAAAAGAAATCATTCTTTTTCTGCTGGAACACCAGCCAAGGGAGTTCCTTATTGTGCAGAAATACCTTGACGGAAAACTGCACAATGCCAAGAGGAAGGCTCCCCTCTTCTGAGGAATCTGCTTTCTAGGCAACATGTCAGTAGCACTTCTATCCACAGCACCATGTTAAGGGAAGTCTTAATCTTCCAAAGACCCAAGTGCTTCACAGATTAGCAACACTTTCCAAAACTCAAACCTTTACCTCCATTGTTTCGTGTAACTGGAAATTCAATTAGCAGAATAAAGTCTCAGCCTGCTTGATAAAGGACAATGCAATAATGGTTCATGCACAGACTCTCTGGAGGCAGCTTCAAAACTGTCATTTAATTGAATAATCTGCACAGTCCAGAATGCAAATGAAGTAAGGATGAAAACCTAAGCAAGATTTTGCTCAGTGGCACTCATCATTTACCAAGGATGCCTGTGTGTTCTGCTTTTCCTCCCAAATCCATTTGTGTGCTCTATATTGATTTTGAAAAGGCTGATTCAGTACAAACAAGAACAATCCTTTCTCAGTCCTTGGAAGGCACTGCTATAATTATGAGCCCCAATAGCTTTGTCCATATGATCAATCGAGGAAATGACATGTTTGGTCCAAGTCACCTCCATATTTCTGAATCCTTGCTGCCCATGGGGTCAGAGTAAATTAATTATTTTGTTGGTATATCTGATGACCTGCTAAGTGTGATGGGGGCACAAGGGAACTAATCCAGGGGACAAAATGTGGCATATAAAATACTAAAGACAGAGGGGTAGATGTGCTATTCACCAGAACCTGGCCCAGCCCCAGGCTCAGAATGTGGTGGTTCAATGAGTGAGTATCTAAAGTGATTCAAAGGGCACAGGTTGGCAACCTTTTTCTGTCAAAGATCGGACATTAAATATTTTAGGCTTTGTTATAGCTACTCAATTGTACTGCTGGTGCGTGACAGCAGCCACAGACAATTCAGAAACGAATGGGCCTGGCTGTGTTCCAGTAAAACTTTACCAGAAATTTACAAAATTACAAAAAAGATTTTGCCTACTGTGGCCAATCCCCACAGTAGGGTACCATGAAATATTTGAGAGACAGAAAAAAAATTTTTTTAATGCTCTGGTTGGAAGACATCTTCAGCAAAGATGCACAAGGGCTGGGCCTTGAAAACTAGAGGATGAGAATATGTTCAGATGGGGAGAGAGACAGCAGAAGCCAGGGCATGGAAGCAGGTAAGTGGGGGAAGGGAACAGGAAGTATCTCAGACTAGCTGAATGAGATGATGGTAATGGCGAGTTCAGAGAAGAGGCCAGGTGGGGCCAGAGCAGAGATGGTCCTGAATGCTGCATCAAGGCACCTGGACTTTATTTTCTGGATCAGAGACTCCAAACATTTTTGATCAAACATTCCTTTCACTAGAACATTTCTGAGAAGTATCTTCTACATGCATATTTATTTATAACTCATGTGTACTG